GAAAGTCTTCTCTTGGACAACAACAACAACAACAACCCAATATAATCCAAACTCTTTTGGGGTTTTAGAGTTGAAGATGTAAGCAGTCTTACCCCCCTTAAAATACAGAGAGACTTTTTATGTCCATTACTAGCCAAAACTTCATTGAAAGTAAGAAAAGAAATGAAGAGTGTTCAACGTGTCACTTTGATTTAGTCCATTATTTACCTCAAGCTAAAACATTGTCAAATGCTATTCTTTTAGCTCCATTGGCAATCGACATAAGAGGGTTCTATTTGTAAAGCTTTAAATACATTTTCTGTATTATTTAGCATATCTTTAAGCTTGGTCAAAGTTTCTCCTAGGCAATTAAATGTCTAGCCCTTGGCTGTGTTTTTCTAATTTTCTAACTTCTTCCCCCTCACTTCTTCACATGTAGCAGTGATAGGTTGGGCATATTGGTAGAGAGTAAAGAGACAACAAAAGATACAAAAAAAAGACAGCAAAATAGCTTCAGAAGTCCCAGAACTCTAACTTTTTACTCCAAGAGAGCTGCTAATTATCCAAAAATTATTGCTCGTCTCTCCTCTCTAAAAGAATATTTATTTAGGGTGTGTTTGGTTTTGGGGGGAGGGGTCACAAACCTTTGGTAGTGAAAAGAAAATTATATGATGCAAAAGTTTTCATCACAGGAAAGGAAGAAATGTACCTCTTCCTTATTCTTCTTTCCACCACTGAAGAGCTTGTATCCACCATAGATTGCTGAAGCCCATCCAGCCAAAGAGATAAGTACAAACTACAAAGAAAACAACCAATCAAACATGTGTATTGTATATTTCTCATGATGTACCAAAGACATATAACTGATACAACTTATGTTTTATCTATAGATGTAGAACATGGATTTTAACTACAAAAAAAGTGGTTTGTTATAGTTAAAACATTGCAAATAGGAAACCCTTTTGTACAACACTAGTAAGTCATATACGCTTTGAAGGAAGATTAAAAGAAACATGAACTCAACACCAAAAATCACCCAAATTGGCATCTAGCTCTTTTAGAAAGGCCACTTTCAGCCATTATGTCATTGGAAAAAATTCAAAAACTGAAGACTTGGTCCAGCCGTCCAGGTAACAGAACACAAAACTTCCAACCCCTTTCCAAGCCATTGGGCCTTGGTTTATGAGAATTGAAAACCAATGATAGAAGGAAAAACATGTCTGCCTTCCTGAAATCTATTTCAGAAACAATGCTGACATTTCAAAATAAGGTGAGGTGAAATGGCATGATTTTAAAAGCATACCTCCACCAAAATGCATAGAAATAACTGAGGAATGTGTTTTATGCCCCGTACAATATACCAAAAAATACTGTTTATAGACTGATAAAAGTATGCATTTATTAGGATAAAACTACTGAAGTATGAGCTCAAAATCATTTAATCGTTCATCTTGTGATTGTGCCAGTGGACTACTTTGCATCTAATTATTTCCTATGGCATGGGTTAGAATAAAAAAAGATTCTGTCTATCTCCATGCCTAAGAAGAACAAAGAATACTCACATGCTCTTCCTTCCATTTAGAAGGGCTCATCGGATCTTCCCAAAAATTCACCTTTGGTGGTCCATGATGATCTGGAGTTACCCAAAAAGAGTTAATTATTTCCAAAGCGCATAGAGTCGAGATTTAATTCATCCAGACAGAATTCAAATACACAAAAAATGGCACAACCCATAATTAGATCAGAAAGAAATTTAAATCCAGGGAGAAGAGTACCAGCAGCGCCTGCAAGGCCGCGGCGGGTGACCAAGGACGCAGATTGAGCCGCTGATATGGATGCAGGGTGTCGATTGAAGGTCGCTGCTCGACGCGCCGCCATCATTGCCAGCGAGGTTGCCATGGCGTTGCGATTGCACTCTGTGTTTCTAGGTGATGGATGGCAAACGGCGCGGAGATGGAAATGGGCAGATATAGCTAGCCTGGAGATAATTGACAGGGTTAGGGGCTGTTTGTTTCAGTCTTAATGGTTCAGATGTCTGAATAGTTCAACACTTAATGGTTCAGACTGTTTGTTTAAGCCTCTTAATGGTTCAGATGTCTGAATGGTTAAGTATTATACAGAGTCTGAATGGTTAAGACCTCTTATCTGAATTGATCAGACATTTGCCTCTGAATAGTTAAGCAATATACTAGCTCTTAATAGTTCAGACCTCTTACTGGTTCAGCACTTAATGGTTCAGACCTCTTACTGGTTCAGCACTTACTGATTCAGAAGTTGCCAAACAGCCTCTTACTCCTTTGAGTGGGTTCTTTTTATTGGTATTACTAGATTCTTTTTCACGGGAAAATTTTGTTTGTCATTTATTGAATTTAATGAGTAGTGTTAGGGGTGGACACAGTACGGTTCCGGGACGGTTCCGGTTCCGGAACCGCCGGTTCCGGTACCGCCACCCCATGTAACCGGAATTGTTACCGTGCCGGCCGGTACCGGTTCCGGTTCCCGGACCGGCCGGG